GATGATTTAAAAACTTTTAACAAACTTGTCTGATACATAAAGTCTTTGAACCATAACATATAATAACAACACAAATCAGGTATGTTCACATCTTTGCATTTGATCTGATTAAGTTTCTGTTGTCGTGAATTTATTCTGTTTAATAAGTGGTAGTGTCAAAATTATGTTCTAATAATTTGAACAATTCAGTGATTGGGTGACTAAAGGCTCTTATATTACATTGGTTTGCTTACGTAAACATTGGTATGAGAGATAAATGTAACAACCAACTTTCAAGATTTTGATGAAAAACACAGTTATGTTAAAATTCTCCACATACTTTAAAATTCATAAAATCTAATTTAAAAATAAACAGCAAAATATGAAATATCGAAACATTTCGTAATATACATTTGTTTGGTTTGTTAACTGATTTATTCTGCGGATATATACTTGCCCGGATAAAAATAGACATCCGAGGTAGCCAATCCTGTGCCGTCAAATAAATAAGCAAATAATTCGTTTATATTTTATTTATTAAAAAAAAGATAACACAATTATTACAATTTACATGTTAGGCCCAGAAAAAAATAAAAAAAAGTTACTGGTACATTATTTCGAAAATCGATGCATCCGCTCTGTTTTTTAATATAAAATTGTCATTAAGATAATGCATTTATTTTTATTTTTCACTGGTGGATTGATTATTTTCGTTACCGCATCGAGTCACCTGGATTTGTTCAATAAATATCTTTGTTATCGATGACCTTCTGTCTGTTATGTATTTAATTGTACAAGAAAGGTGGCCTACACTACATAATGCAATAAAAATATAAATAGATATAAATAATCGCCCATTGTCATACCATTATACCACAACCAATCAGTCAAGCATATACTTGCAAAATATATATAATCTTATTCCTAAACAAATATTTTTTTTCTGATATTTTAATTAACCTCGTTAATTTCATGTCTCCACATGATTGGGCCATTAATACACTAATGTGAATATATTAAAATTAAAACAGAAATTCGTATGAGAGTAATATATTTATATAGTATAAACACGGCACCTGATCAGCTCAGTTCAACTGAGACTAACGATGGAAAATTACTGAACCACAGCGCTAACTAAATTAATTAGTTAAGGTATAGATGCATGTTTCGTAGCGCTCTTTGCCCTAACATTAGGTTATTTTTTAATATAATTATATATTTAGACAAAGTTAGCTATACACAATTAAAATGTGTTACAGAGTGGACATACTCAAAATGAGCATTATCTACATTTTGATTATTCAGTTAGCGAGGTGATTTCAAACTTAAATATCTCCCAAAGTCGTTGTTTCTTGAATTTAAAACTATGTGGGTGATGTGTTTCTCAAGAAAGAATCGTTCAGTGTCTTTTATATTACGTTTGCTCTCTGACAATGGTCCATGAAGTGTTAAATACTTAAGTAGGCGTAATTACGTAGCTTATAATCTGTTTGACACATTTGACAGAACAACCGAAACTAACAATATTCTCGGATAGATAGATAAACACGATACCAACATAGTATGAAAGTTGCAGAGGAAAGAAAGAAGCACACTATAATTCCTATGACAGTCTGCTATACTTAAAGGGCGATGGTCGTCGCGCCGCGTCCTATTCGATATGGGACTCATAGCGACGTATACAACGCGTGTAAAATACATTGTTTATTTACATGATATTCGAACACGCGCTGCGCGACGACCACCGCGCTTTAAGTTGAGAGAATGCATAATCATTCAGCGCAAAAAGTAATTTCGTCGAGAGTCAAAATATTGTTATTCCTACTTTAAGTTCTTCTTCACATAATTAGTAATTACCCACAACATTTCCATCAACATTGGATGGCAATGTGCCACTTAAATAACGATAATTTTAACTGTTGGGCAAATGGTCATTCGTCAAACAGAACGGCTTTCGACATTATTCCTTCCTGTGACAAGATGATCATCGAAAGCGGTTCCATGGAAATACCTAAACAGAATGCCGGGTGTGGTATAACTGAAACAGGTGTGGAATCTGACGTTATTTAGAAGGGTGAAAGCCAATGTGTGCAGCGTTCAGAGCCACAATACTCTGAAATATAGAGAAATTCCACCTGTATTAAAATAGCTGCATCGATATTATTATTATTATTATTGAGTCATCCGTACCCGGTACAATTTTACTTTCTATGCGCTATATTTGCACTTACCGTGTATTAGAGACTACGTGACTTGTTGTCATAGTTATTGAGCAATCGCTTTGGAGAACACATGTAGATCTGATCGTGTTGTTCAAGGTCATAGTTACTAATATGATTGATAGTCTGGCCCACAGTATTACGGTTGTGCAACGCTTCTCATAGCAGGGCTCTAGCAGTATCGATAACACGTAATATTGTATACAATGTCACCGATGGTCAACTCTGTGATGACACAGCCGCCTGCATTTATATGATGGCACCGTTCTGTTCTTTTTATAAACACTGATACATTCAACCATAACAGCCAATCAACGCTTATATGTGATAGTTTCCGTCGTCGCCATTTTTATTTATATTGACGTCAGGATATCCAATAGCTATTTTCCCGAAGACTTTTTAATTAGTTTATGCAAATTATATGCACTTATGTCATATTTCAGTAAAACACGATGACCCATTATAGTTGAGATGACACGTTGTTAACTTTTTAATATTATTTCGTTATTGATGTCTGGACACATAAACTTATTCTTTCATACAATGTGATAGGAAAAACGATTACGTACAAAATAAAACCTTGATGACAAAGATTATTATAAATGCTATAATAATTATATTAATTAAAGTAGAATGCTTGAAAATGTATTAACGTTGGTATTTTAAGCAACTGTCATTTTAATATAAAGTGAAGGTAGATAATATCTGTCAAGTAATATATAGTTTTGTGCACTTATTATCGAGATATGAAATACACATATCAATTTATCACTGCTGTGTCACTGTCGTTTACATTGTTCCATTAGTTAATATCATTGTGATGAAAGTGCGGTGGTCGTCGCACAGCGCGTGTTATAATTTCATGTAAATGAACAATGTATTTTACACGCGTTGTATACGTCATAATTTCTCCCCAAAAAAACAAAATAATTTCACAATGTCAAGAACGAAAAGTAGTGTTCAACATTGTAAAATGTTGACTTCATGACACGGCAAACTCTGCTCATGACCGGAACCGTTGTCTTCGTTGAAAATTCGCCAATTCACCATAACCGTGGTTGAGAACTGTTTAGCTAATTTTTCAAAAGATCATATGAATACTAAGTATTCAATTCATATTCACCCAAACCATAGACCTTAAAATACATATTCTAAGGTCTATGCCCCAACTCGTATTCAAATATTCTTTCGGAAATTTGAGATAATGTTCAAAAAATCCTGGACAAAGATATGTCTGATGACAATACGCAATTCTCCATGCAGTACTAGAAATTATTGCTGATACTAATCACGTTTTTACCGGAAAGTTACTCGAACGTGTAGTAGACGAGCATAATAATACTGTCACATGTCCTTCGTCTTAGCCACATAACCGCCGCAGTTCGCTTCATGTATGTAACATCGAATATTTAGTTTGATGATTGATAAACATATATTCACCGTTGCTTTCATGTTACGTTAATTTTGATTTTGTTAAAGAAAACACAACATAACACAACATAACTTCTTTTCTGATGAAATTTCTCACAGAGAAGTACACGTGATGTTTTACTGGTAGTTATCGTACCCCAACTATAAGTTACGGGAAGCGCTAAGTTCTTTTGATTCAGAGCAATTTACTCAAGGTCGTAAGCAGTCACGATCAATACAATTTCATTGCTAGTGTTGAATTGAGTGACGCAACTTGAATATTACGGTTTCTCGTTTATGTAGCGCAGTTAACAGTATACGCTTTCGTTGCACGCATCTAGCGGACGTCTATATCCAAAGGTAAATCTTCAGGGAAATCATCTGTATTTATTTGTCCCACAGCACGACAACCACTTGATATCGTGTCGATTTACTTCTTATCTTGGTGTTTTGAGTGGTCACTTCGCGTCCCGTCAAAATACCAAAATCACTCAGGCTCGAAGATACGGTATGATATCATTCTAAATTATAGAAGAATAGATCGTTAAAGTTGTAGTCATAACGGCTTCTTGCATAGGTAAGTTATAACTCTGATAACTGCCATACATTATACGTTTCAATGGGCATAGAAAAGGGATGTTTCATGTTTGTGAACAGTCACAAAGAAGCCAACTTTAACGTTGGTGGCGCCTTTCGTACAGCTGATGCCTATTCAATGTACAAATGGCATTGTGTTCGTCCATCTTTCACGCATTTTCTTCCATCTAAAGTGAGATTGTCGAATGATGTGCCAAGAAAGAATACAAACTGTAGCTGTATAGCGATCGTAATCTTTGAAGCATGCAGTTAAAATGGATAGTCATTATTTTGATGGCAGCGGTAATGTCGATGGTCCGAGGTGCATTACTGCGTTATGGCCGTCAATCAAGGCAATTCAAAACTATCAAAAACAACGTCTACATGCCATCGTGGCTGACGTGCGATCTGTGCAAGTTTGGAATCTCGTTAGTGCAGAACAAACTCCGAACCAACGAGACGACTGATGCGATAGCAGACGACGTTGTAAAAATATGCATTGACCTGAATATAGAAAGTGTACGTGTTTGCCGAGACGTCGTTAGCGAGTTCAAGGTCGGTAGCGTAAATACGACTCATTTAAATTATCGAATAATTTTAAGAAAGAAAAATTCCAGTCATTTTACATTTCCATGGCAGCAATATCTGTGGTGTATTCAGTATACAATTGCGTATTCTCTACTGCGTCATCCCGTACGTATATACATATAGGTTATAGGTCAAATATCAAAGTGTAATGACGTGAAACCAACCCTTATCCCCGGCCTTGACCTTAATGGTTTTATTATTCAATGCCAGAGTAGACGGCGAATCGGAGGTTTTGATCACCTCTTTAGTTTTAGGTTGCACATAATTACACATAATTACAAATTGCAGATAATGTTTGTACGATTGACACTGAAATTTATATTGTAATAACGGATAACGTGTTGTGTTAAGGGATGTAATAGTAAACGAAATAGAAATAAATAGAAAAGTAAATCTAGTCAGACGATCTAAATTAAAAACTACCGCATGCGTTTTTTTTTAGCTGTCACCCTGAAGGTGTGTGGTCTTTTGTAATGAGCCGACATTTAGCTAGCTGCGAGGGGCGTTCAATAAGTAATGCCGCTGACCCATTTCCCATAACAGGAGATTAATGAAACTTGACACAGTTATTAGTATTTCTCTACATAGGAACCATCCAGAGTTATGCATTTCTCCCATCGTTTGATGCAGCTCTGGACACCGTTTTTATAGAACACCCCAGGTTGGTCGTTCAACCACGTCGTAACTTAAGAAATCAAGGCTGCATCATCTGCCTTCCTTTCAAAAACAACTTCATGGCTGGGAAGAGATAAAAGTCAGAGGGTTTAAGGCCAGGATGAGGGCGGATTTCATAGCCACATGCTTCTGATCTGGCAACATGCGAGTGTTGGACCGGGGCGTTGTCCTGCAGGAGGAGGATACATTTGCTGATCTTGTCCCGCCTCTTGATTTTGATAGCTTCTCTCAATTTCATCAAAAGTGAAGCGTAATAGGCTCCTGTAATTGTGGTGCCCTTTGCCAGGAAACCTGTCATCACTACTCCGTCCTGATCCAAGAAGACTATGAGCATGACCTTGCCAGCGGAAGGCTGCACCCTTGCCTTCTTTGGAGGTGGTGAGTCCAAGTGCTTCCACTGCATTGACTGGGCTTTGGTCTCTGGATCAGAGTGATGGACCCAAGTTTCATCCTGCGTAATCAGTCCTTTGAAAAACTTTGACTCATCTTCTTGGCATATCTCCAAATTCATCCTCGAGCACTGCACTGGACGCGTTCTTGCTTCTGGAAAGGTGTGAGCAACCTGGGAATCCACCTGGCAGACACCTTATGCATATGCAAATGGTCATGAATGATAATTTCCACAGGCCCTGTACTAATCTCGACATCTTGGGCTAATGGGTCGATCTTTCAAAATGGCTGCCTCAACTTGACGGACAGATGCCTCACCAATGGCAGAAGAGGGACGACCAGGTCTGAGAGCTGTTTCCACAGACTTTCGGCCATGTTTGAATTCACTTTTTACAAGGTCATATGATGGGGCATCATCACCATATGTTTCTTTCATTTCATCAAAAGTCTTCTTTGGTGTGCGTCCTTTCAAATACAAAAACCAGATCACTGCGCGACACTCAACAGGCTCCATTTCACACCTGACTCAGTTCAAACACATGTAAATCAGAAACCACAATTAGTTCAGAGCTGTTTTTTGCAACGTTACCCATATAGATGTAAGTCATTACACATGAAAAATTTCATCTAGATCAGACAAATGGAAGTGAGTCAGGGTCATTACTTATTGAACACCCCTCGTATTCAGATGATCTAAATTATAAACTACAGCGCTTTTTAGAAACAATGTTATGTGACTTCAAAGTTGTTATTTTTCGGACGCAAGACAATGTTTTTAAATAGCACTGTAGTTTATAATTTAGCTTTGTAGGAATCACACTATGTTTACCTGGCACCAACCGAAAAGACACAGTCTTGCACATATTTCGCCTATAACCTAACAACTGTTTCGGGGCTAAACCTAAAAATCCTCGTGAAAGAATCATATATTAACAAATAAGAGAAATTAAAACACAATTTAACATGTAATCTTACAATTAAAAAACTCAATAGAAAAGAATATTATGCAAAATTGGACGTAAATCAACGAGTGGACGTGAATATACAACAGAATGCAAATATTTTGGGGGTGCCAGCTGAGTAAAATCACGCAAGCGCGTAATAACAACGCACTGTTATGAAAGCCTCGCTCTCACGCCTAATAATTTAACCATACTGCATTGCATTTTTAAGAAGCATAGCAACAGATGTCGTGTGTATTTGAACAAAACAAAAAGTCAGAATTTGTTTTCTACTATAACATTATTTATTTGCTTAGGTCCGCGACACTCACTACACAGGGTTACTTGTATTATTATCTATTTTCTCCAAGGACTGGTTCTGTGCGGTTATAACAAATCTGATAGTCAGTCCGGATGAGATGTGTGGTCTGATGCTTGGTCCTTTGTGTGCAAAACCCTACAACCCTTTCGATGAGTGGAATATTACATTTCCCGACGTCCCTAAGCCGCCGGTTGTTCCACCCAGTCCTCCTAAGGTGCGTATAATTATTTTGCTATTTAAAGGGCGGTGGAAGTCGAGTTGTGCATGTGCGACATTTGTGTTGATAAACATTGATTTTCCCACAATCCAATGCGCTCTTCTAATGGAAATCACAAGTATGAGGTTGATCTGGGCGCGATTGCACTGGATGCCGCCGGTGACTCTTTCGATACCTTCCAATCACCTAAAACAATACCTAATTAAACATGGTAACGTCTCAGTTTGTACTCGTTGATCTGCGCAACAGCCAAAGTCGCTATCCTTGTTTATATGAGACCCATATTTCTCGCACATTCGTGGCGCGACGACTACCGCCCTTTAATATCCTGACTATTGGCAGGTTTGTGTAAGCCATTCATTGTTTTCTTTGTTGCTGATGGGAGTTATTTGTTCTAGTGATTTATCCCGTAATAGCAACATTGATATTGAACTGTTGATTTCTGTTCACGTGGTCATTTGCCAAATAGCTCGTACTCGCAAAATGGCCACCGAGAGATTGTTATTGTTAAGGATGCAAAAACAGTTCTCGTAACGAGATTTTAATGGCCATTCTGCAACAGTTACGAGGAAAGTGGCTGGTATATAGGATTAGGTTTTTGTTATTTCCTGAAATTTATGTAACACTGTTTAAGAATTGATTGTTAACTAAGTTATTCGGTGTTATGTGTTTTACCATAACAGTTATTTTCTCCCACTCATCGCGTACTGCATCTATCAGACATACACTACGACAAGCATTATAGGGCTGGAAGTAATGCTAATTGCGGCGAGCCGATATGCTGCAGGAGAGACGATGGTAGACCAGGTAGGTTTAGTACATACATGGATTTTTAAAAATGGAAATTAAGGTTCCCGTCGTTTCCTTCGTGTGTGCGTGTGGCGACAGTGCTCATGTACAACTTTTCTGCAATTCTTTTTCCTTGAATGTCCGAATTAACCGATACGTACGGTTAGTACAGTTACAGTGTTTATCAAGTTTAAATACTAAATTCAGTATTGTTAGTTGATTTTATACTAATAATAAATACATTGGATATGATTTATCACGAATTAAAACGTTGTTCTGCACTTTCATACAAGTATTCGTTCGATCAAACAAATGCAATTCTTTAATATGCTTACGCGTTGGTTATTTTGGTACGTACGAAAAATCACTGCATAAGCCTATTTTTTATCTAACGAATACAGTTGTGTACGTCCGACAACAAAACGTGTAGTTTATAATAAATCGGCAGCGGCAGCATTACTAAACAGCAATATTAAAGGGCGGTAGTCGTCGCGCCGCGTCCTGTTCGATATGGGACTCATAGAGACGTATACAACGCGTGTAAAATACATTGTTTATTTACATGAATTTGAACACGCACTGCGCGACGACCACCGTGACTGCGCTTTAAAACATACATTGCATGTGTTTTCGTCGATTTATTTTTAAATATGGTCTGCAACACTTGCAGTTTTCCATATTGTATTTTTAAATGTGTGCACATAATTTACACTATGCCCAATTTGGATCACAGCTCCCGGTGATGATGGTGCTGGAAAATGGGGTGATTTAAGGAATTGTGATGCGCCATTGTGGTTACTGGATAATCTCTTTCAGCATCTGTCGTCCAGAGAAAAGGCGAGTCACTTTAAACTATTGTCTAAAGAAAAGTATATCATCCACGTCAGATAATCACATTATCATTTCTTTCAGAACCTTTTAAAAACATTCAATGAACGACTGCGATTCTTTGTTGCAGTCGTATTTACACTATCCTTAACATATCATTCTCTGTAGTTTCATTATGTTTTGTGGACCGGTGATCTGCCAGCGCATGATATATGGGAACAGACTAAAGAAGAACAGCTACAAATTTTACATATCATTACACAGATGGCGAAAAAGTACTTAGGCAATGTACCTGTCTTCCCCGCTGTTGGAAATCACGAAAGTGCGCCTGCCAATAAGTAAGTGAAATTGTTTCCGGTCATACATTGTGAAATTCAAACATAGATAACTCACTAATCATTACATAATTTGAATAATTATTCTTGAAGACGTTCACTTCGGACAAACAAATAATTTAAAACAGTAACTGTCAATAAAAATGATCATCTGTGCATGTTGTCCGCTTTTGCAAGTACAAGACTGTTCATAGTATTTGAGAGAATAAGTAATAAATTGAATTGGCAATGTTCATTGGTAATTATTTTCAATCTTGGAACGAGAGTTCCGTCTATGTGAACGGCATTCTTTTGTGTGTTTCATTGCCGTATTTTGAAAAAAAAATATCATGTTTGATAGTCTTTTCAATTGCTCACTTTTAAAATTACCGTAATCCTGAATAAATTGAGTCCGTCCTGTAATTAAACTTATGCATGTACAAAATAATATTCATTTTATAGCCCGTCATGATGTCTGTTCCCGACACCCGTCTTTGTTAATTGAATGACTGCATATGGATCAATGTGCTTGACAAACATCAATAGAAGTATCATAAAACTACAATCACACAAAAAACAGACAGTCATGGAACAATATGTTTAGTCACTACGGAGTTCTAAAAATTGAAAGAAACACAGATCACCCAAAACGCCATATTGTGCATTCTAAACTTGGCATCTCACTGCCTGCTTTCATCTCATAGTTTTCCGCAGCCCTTTATAACTGGGAATCATTCCATTGAATGGCTGTACGATGCTTTGGCGGATACATGGATCGACCAGACACACTGGTTACCTCCGTACACACGTCACACCATCAAAAAGTAAGTACACATAACGAGAAGCACGTCGGATGGATTGTCATTTAGATATAAATCTGTGTAAACATTGAAGTTCATTTTAATTCCAACATTGTATTCATAAAACATGGACTCGCGCTGAATAAACAATGTAATGACAAGTGTATATAAATAGAGGTGCTCATTATGTTGTCTGTATGCACAGGGGAGGCTATTATACTGTACTTATATCACCAGGTCTACGTTTAGTTGCGTTGAATAGCATGTATGGTTACTATGGCAATTTGTGAGTATTTGTAAACACTTTATTTATAATCTAGCCTACATAGTAGATATTCTGATCAAATTATGTAAACTGCCAGTGGTGTGGTTGGTTTACGGGGTCCGATATATATGTTCATACAAATATGACGTTGTTGAACTCTGGTTCTGTTTAGTCGATTACAAATCTTGTGAACCGCAAATTGAATCAGATTTTTTTTAAATCGTTCATGTTTCAATTCATCAAATAAATCTGACCCCCTCCCAGATAAATTGTATGTAATTTTATCAGATGGCAGGTGATTTGGTTAGATTATTGACGTCGTTATTCATCAATACGAATTATATATCATTAATTCCTGCTTTCTATATTTGAGTTTTTACTTCAAAAAATATTTGTTATGACTTATTCTCGCCGTTTATTTATATCATACATTTTACGGAACAACTCAGACAAGCCACATTGCGTGTGAATCAGCAGTATCCATATATTGGCAACGTTTAGAAAATAATCCCAACACGATTCTTTCGATATCCAAGTATGTCTTACGTGACGGTTACTTGTCAAAGTTTGACGCCTAACTGAAATGCTCGACTGCGTCTCAGTCATTTTTGCGAACAGCGCCGCCCACGTCCGGTTATCGCACAACAATTGAAAACACGTCGTTCTTTATTCCCGAAATAATTTGACATTTTGAAGATCCCTTATACCGTAAATAATGATCTGTATTATGAATTAATTCCTCAGTTGGTTGTACCTCAACACCACCGATCCCGCAGGTCAGTTACAATGGCTTATATCCATACTTCAGACCGCCGAAGACAACGAGGAGAAAGTTTATATTATTGGTCATATTCCACCTGGAATAGACGACTGTCTCAGACGATGGAGTTGGAATTATTATAAAATTATTAATAGGTAAGATTTAAGTGGCTTCATAGTCGTGAAATTCGGTGTTTAAACGCGCCGCGTCGTGTTCTATATCAGGGGGAATTCTTCTCCCTGAGGTTCTCCAAACGTGCCAGGGGGAAATTTCGTCTCGTCTCTATACACGTCTGCTTGAGGTACGGGACCGGGAAAGTCACTTAAACTTTACAGTCAAATAGACGCACACAACGAAATACGTTTCAACTCTCGTCTTTAGTTGGTCAGTCGAGCATTCTATATGACACAGCGCCCTGGGGAAAAGTCCCCAAGACTATCGCAAGGCTGACCCAAGACTCTGTCCCTAGACTCTGTCCCTAGACTGCCCCAAGACTGCGTCTCTCGTTGTGTACTCGCCAAGACCAACTAAAAACTCTTTTATTCATTTTCAAAACTCTAACCAATTACAAAGAAGTATAAAGACTCTAGGGCGTAACCTTCAATCATACAGCCAATCATACTAAGTACTGAACACGTCATATCTTTTGATTAATCGTTCACTATATTACTAACTGCGAATACCAACTGTCAGAAATAGTAGTCCGGATAGCGTCGGTTATATCGTAATTAGTTCCAAATCGCTGAGTCGAGTTCCGTCCAGGACCTCGCATGAGCCTAAATGATGACAGATATAACACAGCCATTCACTAGTAAACAGCTAAATAAGTCGATCAACAGATACGCGCAAACAAATTCATGACATCTATGTGGGGCCCAAGCGACGAATACAACGCGTGTAATTTACCCGAAATTCGACCGCGTGCTGCGTGGTAATTGTGAACTAGAACATATATAAATGTTATTGGTATAACCCGTATATATCCCGTGTTTTTAATTGTTTCAGTTTTGTTATAAGTACTGGCATTGGTCACGTTTGAGTATACGTAAATTACATTTTGACTAAACCTTTATATGTTTTGTATAATTCTAAACAGTATAGTTAAAGCAGGGGAGTCGTCATCTGCGCATGCGACATACTGACTTAGCGTGTCGTTGTTTACAAACAAACGTCTACCCATGAGCCGTTGCGTTTTAACGAGCGTTGTTATCGTCGCCTGGGACCCTTCTGTTTTAAATGTGTATGGGAATAGATTCTTTTGTTATAACTCTTTGTGTTGGGACAGCCTTATGGCGATTTGAACAATTGCAATATATTATTCTGCAAATGGTTGATAAGAGTCGTCTTTCAATATGCTGGTGGATCATGAAAGATAAGAATAACCATCGTCTGTGACCCTTAGTGAACTTACAATAATACGCATTTCGCTCACTTTTATTTGCGTTTTACGGGCATGCGTCATACAATGCGGAGATGAAAACAAGTCTGCATAACTACAAAGGCCGTCGTACTTTTTTAAGCTTTGTGTGCGTGCACAGTGACTGGTTGGCAAGAACTAGTCGTTTCTCTCCAAGTTAAATAACGACAACATTTTCATAGCAGGTAGTGAGCGACATTTGTAGTCAAACATTCGCTTGCAAAAACGTAATCAAATGACGTCATAGTGCGACGGTCTAGAATCGCCCACCTGATGTGTAATGACTGTAGCACATTAAGTTTGCCTTGTTCAAATTATTACAATACAGGCCAAGAATAATTAAAATGAATCGTTTTACATACTCGTTGCACATAGCGTATAAATTACAAATTAAAAAAATAAACAATTCAAATACAAGACAAATCATGAAAACGTAAGATAATAGTGCTGTGCTACTGAAAACGTGTTGCAGGATATGTTAACCAATACGCTTGTACTCTGTGATTGAATTAACATGATATGATTTGAGTAATCGTCTAAACCATTCAGCCACTACACTATACTTTCCATTCAGGTATGAAAGTACTGTTGTTGGTCAGTTCTTCGGACACACACATTTCGACCATTTCCAGATTTTCTACGATGAGGAAACCTTGTCGAGACCTCTAAACGTGGCGTACATTGCTGGAAGTGTCACTACACAGCCAACCATGCACCCTTCATACCGAATATACGAGACGGATGGATTCTACTTAGGAAGCACTAGGGTATGAATTTAGATATCATATATGTCCCGAGAATGTTAGCTGCAATGCTTTATATGGGCGTGTCATGTTTGGCGCGTTGTTTTTGTTTTTCGAGGATTTTTTTTTTTGAAAACTTTTTTTTAATATAGGAAATGATATACATACAATCAACGGAACATTTACGAAAGGGTAAAGTAACATGACAAGACGTAACTGATCATAACTACCAATGAAGTTTCTATTTGTGAATAAATACTTGTATAGATTTGTATCGACATAATCAATTTATTACAGTGCTCTTCTTTCTCTAGATGGTTTTGAATCATCATACATATATATTAAACATAACTGATGCCAACTTAACCAATAAACCAGTTTGGATAAAGGAGTATTCTGCGAAGGTAAGAAATGTATATATTAAGTGACATTATATATTGAATCAGTTCATATTTATGAGTAATTGTTTCAAAACTCCATAAGCACTCATTAATATGTGTCCTGTATATGCAGGAAGCGTATGGCATGAATTGGTTATTCCCGAATGACTGGAATAGTCTTGTGAAAGAATTTAAGAAGAATAAAGAGCTGTTCAATAAATACTACACGTAAGAACTCGAAATATACTTTTTTTAATGTGTTATAAATTTAATTTAATAAATGTACGTCTTCTTTTCGCTATTCATTATTCAATACTATGTAATCTATTCTGTAAATAAATTACTATATGGCATACGAAAGGAAAAACACAGTTAACAAACTATAAAATTTAGACTTGAATTAATGTATAGTTTTGAAGTTCAATATCTTATGGACTAACATGTTTTTTGGTATAAATTGTTCATATTATACTACATATATCTTGTCTAAGACGAAAGAAAACACAACCTCGTGTGTGCAACGTGGGTTATTCAAATAAAATGGTAGGATCATTTGGGCAATGTGTTTTTTTTTTCAGTAAGAGAAGTGGTCTGACTTACCCCAAAATGTTCATAAATCTTTGTTTTTATAATCACTATACAGATATTATTACAAGAGCCATCCTGTCACCGAGTGTGACGATTTCTGTCGAAAAACGATGATATGCGACATGCAGAGTGGTCGGTCATTTGACCCCGAGTTATGCAATTTATAATGAAACGTACACGGACAAGAAGCAGTAGAAGAGATGACTTGGTGCTAATTATGTTGAATTAAAATATTACTTAAAGTTATTATCGAAAAGTTTACAATATTGGATAAACTATTACTATGGCAACTAACAATGAGAATGATGACGCAGATCAACGAGTACGAACTGACACGTTTCCAAGCTTGAATTAGGCAATTTTCATGTGATTGGAAGGTATCGAAGGAGTCATCGGCGGTAATCAGTGCAAGTCGCGCCTAGGTCAAACCTCATACTTGTGATTTCTATTTGAAGAGCGCATTGGATTGTGGGAAAATCAATGTTTATCAACACAAATGTCGAACATGCGCAGCGCGACGACTACCGCGCTTTAATAGTTACGATGGTATTTAGTTGGATCGTTTGATATAGACACATTGATTATGAGTACTGATCATGAGAGTACTGCATATACCTAATTTATTTTCATGTTTTGTGCATAATGAATGCAGTCTTCTAATTGAAAGCCTTCTCATCTGTTTTTTACACACATTTTG